CGGCTTGGGGGCCTGCTCCCCTGGGCTGACGCCCTGACCCTTACATTCGCGGGGCCAAGTCCCAAATGCACCTGCTCCAACACACGTTCTGGGGGCTTCCTCTTTCAAGAGCAAATGACCAGATTCCTGTCGTGGCCACTGTGAGTTGAATACTGGGGACAGCAAAGTTCAGACCTCAAGTCTGCAGAGCAAAAGGTTCTCTATCTGGGCATCGAGATCTATCTACTATCTGCCTTCCATCTGTCTAATCTAATCTAACCTATCTGTCATCTATCTATCATCTATCATCTATCTGTCATCTATCTATCATCTGTAATCTATCATCTATTGTATCATCTATCTATCATCTATAATGTATCATCTATCTATCTACTATCTATAATGTGTCATCTATCTATCTATCTATCATCTATCTACCACCTATGCATCTATCTATTATCTAGTATCTATCACCTACCTACCTGCATATCATATATGTATCATGTGTCATCTAAATATCTGTCATCTGGCACCTGCCATCCATCTACCTCTATATCTATCTATCATCTAAATATCTATCTAGTTTTGTTTTTGTTTTTTTAAGCAATTGGCCTAAAACAACAAAGCGTTCACTCTAGGGACACGGAGAGAACTCACGGAAATGTGGAGAACACAGTAACACTCGGACAGCAAAGGCGAGAGTGTCATTCTGCTACGAGGAGTTTGGGGGGTGCGGAGATGTCCGGGGGGAGAGGTCCCGGGAAGAGGTCTGGATGGGGATGGAGAGCGGGGTCCTCACACGAACATAGAGCGGCAAGAACAAGCCACACTCAAGACCAGAAGAGACCAGCCCACTGACCGCCGGTCATCCGGAGAAGATGGAGCAGCTGATGTACCCCAAGACGGGGTCCTGGGTGGGATGCAGCAGACACGTGGCGGTCACCTGCTGCCCCTGAAGGCTTAACTCCACGGTCCATGGCCGTCGTCACACCGGCTCACCAGCCTTTCCCCGTGAGCCACCTTTCCATCGGGGTCCCCGTCCGCACATTTCATGGCGAAAGCCGCTGGCTTTGGATCTTCCTCAGAGAAAGAGGAAGCCCCGAACGAGGCCGCAGGAGGCCCCGGGTCATCGTCATCGTCACCGTTACCGTCACTTGAAGAGCCTCGAAAAGAGCCCCGCATCGTTTAAAGACATGAAAAATGCCCACGAGGTCGCTTCGTGCGCGCGCTCAGGAGCATCTGCCCCGTGCCTAAGAAAACGGACACCTCATGGGCTG